AAAAATGTCAGAAAAGATGATTGATAAAATACATCAACCATTAATATGCTTGGCAAAACATAAGTGCAAAATGATGAGAATATCAAACAACTGCACAATTAAGCATAAAGACTTAGGAAATTATAAAACTTTAAGTCAAGAAATAATAACCAAGCAAATAAGTAGCCTCTTTTCAAGACTCAATAAACAAGATAAGCTAGATGAATTAACAAGACTTAGGATAGCCCAAGAATGCCAAAAAGCAGGCTTAACAGAAGACATTTGGGACAGTAAAAGGAAAATAGAAGTTAAGAAGTTTTGGAAAAACAACCTAGCCTGTCAAACAATAGCTAAAGCAAAAGAAATAAAAATAAATATCAAGGCAGAAAAATCCTTGTGGAAGGTTTACAGACATGATAAACAGATAAGAGATATACTAGAAATAAAAACATGGATGGCAAGTAGCAGCACAATAAATGAATAAGAGTTATTATACTTGAATTAACTTATAGATATAAAAGGTAATAACCTGATTACATAGAGACAGCTTAAGAGTTTTCAAGGTTTGTCATATAAAGGAAAGAAAGCTAAGTAGTTTAGCAAAATAAAAGAAAAGATGTTAAAAGCACAAGCAAGCAGAGTAATATAAGACCAATACAAAACAAGAAGCTACAATATGCAAGCACTAAAGATTAAGTAGACAAAGATGTCTAAAGACTAAAAGAAAAAAGAATAGATTGTTTACAGACCAAATTATGATCAACAAGCAGGCAAAATAATTAAGAAGAAAAAGAAAAAAGTGTTGACAGAGCATTGGATAATGTATATAGAAAAAGGAAGGATATTGACAGAATTAAGTATATGTAAAGGTTGTGAAAACAGTTTAGAACAAATGAAAGATAAATGCAAAAGATAGATAAGACAAAACTACAATATGAAGGTGATACCAAAGTTGCTAATAGAAAAGACTAACAATAGAATAAATGTAACATTAGAGCAGATACTAGAAGATAAAATAATAGAAGAATAGAAAAGAGATGAAATAAAGTTACTAGGAATAAGACAAACAGAAGAATTAAAACTAGAACTAATTAGAAAACAAGAATTAAATAGTACGATTACAAAACAGTTAATAGAGATATTGATACAAAACAAGAAGAGAAACAAAAGAAAATACAGTTTCTATACTAATGGAGCATTGTTTAAGAAGAAAAAAAAAAAATACAGAAAAAATAGATATTAGCTAGGTACAAGTAGAAGACAAAGAAGACTGACCAGAGGAGAAAATTGCATTAGAACTGGAAGGCTAACCTTTAGCAACAATAGCAGAATTAGCAGCAATATAGGTAACAATTCTAACAATACCAGAAGGAAAAAGCATAGAAGTGTTCACAGACAGCATAGCAGCGTTAAGAAACATTAATAGTGCACTTCTATATGTAGAAAAAGAAAGAATCTTAAAAAAGAAAAATGTAATGTAGATAATAAACATTGTAGGTCTAATCAAAAATAAGAACATTAGGATAGAAATAATCAAGGTTAAAAGTCATAGTGAAAATAAGTAAAATGACAGAGCAGACACTCTTGCAAAAAAAGTAGCAAAATGCCAAAATGAAATATATGCAGATAAAGTCAAATATGATGGAATAGAGTACTATTTAGAGTGGAAAAACAAGAAAATTAACATACTAGCAAGACTTCTGTATAAAATAATAGCAAATACCAAAATAGAAGCTAGTTGAAAAGAGATGAACTCAATACGGACACTAGAACCAGAAACAGAAAATGCATTGTATAATTGGTTGAGTTTTTAGAAAGAAATGAATAGAACAAAAGAAGTTCATTGTATGTTAAGAAAACTTAGCACAAGAAGAGCCATAGCAATTAAGTGCATAATGGATAGCCTACTAACACTTGAGGAGCTAAACAGAAGATGATCAGAAGTATACACAACAGCAAAGTGTCAAGTATACCAAGTTGAAGAAAAAGAGACTTAGGCACATCTAGCAAGTTGTAGTGAACAAAAGAGTTTGTGGAAGTGAATTCAGAAAGTTGCAACAGCGACAGCATGGAATAAACTTAAAGAAGAGAAGAAAAATAGAATTCTATCACAAGTTCTTTATAGGACATTATTTGAAAAAATAGAAGCAAAAGAAATTGCAAATAAAAAAATGCTAATAACAGGACTTACAATATTAAAAGTAGAAAAAAGATTAAAGCAACTACTAAGCAAGCAAGCAATGCAAAAATGCATAGATATAGTTATAAGAACAATATAGAACATTTTCTATGACCAAGTATGAAGGGTGCAATGTAAAAAAATACAAGCTTGGGAGAAGAAGATTAATATAATGAATAAAATAAAAAAGGGTGCTTATGCAAGAAGAAAACCAAAGAAGAAAATAAAGAAAGATAAACAAGCTAAAAAAGAGGAAAAAGAAAAAAAAGCAGAAAAGGCAGACCAAATAAAGAAAGAAGCTTTGAAGACAATAAATATGCTTGTTACAGAAGGAAAAAAACCCTTCTGATATAGCTTTAAATAGTTAGATGAGCAGTCTATCCCTAACTAGAATAGTGCAGCAGATTGCACTTAGGCATTATTAGAGTAGCTGAGTAATGCTAGACTTGAATGTTAGGAAATTCTATATAATTGTATATGTATATAGTTTCAAGAATCTTAATAAAGTACTAGTGTAACTGCTTAAAATTAAAAAAAAAAAAAAAAAAAGAGATAAACTAGCAGCTTTAGTATTTAAGAATATTTTAGATTTCAAACTTATTTTTATTTGGATTAAGTTGTTTATATTAAATAAGTTTTGAGCTAAACATAAAAGATCAACTATAATATAACAACTACAAAATAAAAAACAATTTATATTACTAAAAGTACTAATTAAAATACAGTTAATACTGTCTAAATACATATACTGTCTAACTGCATACAATTTTATATTTTCTATTTTTGTTACTAATTATAAATGCATAAATTGTTTACTTGCATAATGCATAAACAAAAACTATAAATAATTAAGCCTAATTGTATAATCTATTTTACTAAATATCTGCTTTCTGCATTTTTATTAGCTACTTTTAGTTATATGACTTATTCGTATAATATGAATATGTAGATCAGCTCATGAAGCAAAACACATGTATCTGAATTGTCTAAACATAGCACTTTGCCAAATTAAACTAAATTCAAATTATTTAATTTTAGATTTAAATTTTAATAACTAGATTACATATTAATCAGTAAATGCCAAACATAATAGTATATTTAATCTATTTTTCTGCCTAATTTATTATATTTTAATAGAATAGAAATTTATATATTATATAATAATAACCTTTATTCAGAATGTTGACCAGCATAGTTAATATTAGTATCATATACTAATAAGGTGTTTTATAAATATGCTATAATAAAATAGATACAATATTTAATATATTTTTATTTGCAACTTCTGCAGTACATGGAGACCAAGTAATAGCAAAAGTTTTTATAAACATAAGAGTTATATCACAATGAATAATTTATACAAATGAATCAATTAAAGATCAAGTACAATATAAGATAATAATTCCATTTTTTTTTTTTAAATATTAAGATGAGTACTTGCAACCCAGGATTTTATTGATAATACATTCAGCTAATGATTGCATTACAACCACAAGGGGCAACTATAAAAAGAGTGTACAACTAACCACTCATACAACTTTAGTCATTGTCTAATTTAAGTAGTCTGCCTAAAGGTTCTACACTAGCAAGTCTTTAAAGCAGTTCACTCACATGAGAAACCTTTGATCTTGTACTAAACCTTTCAGAATCTTCTGTATTCTATTCTTACAGCTAACCTGATATCACTATGACTAAGACCAACACTGGCAGTCAGGGTGTATCATTTAACCGCTATGCCCTTGTAGAGTTTACCCCAACCTCGATACTAACTTCACAACATATCCCTACTACTTTGGTATTCAATTCAAGTTCTACTAAGCTCTTAAACCAAATAGCCTAGAAAGGCAGGTCATAATCATACATCTTTGGTTTACATGTTTGCCAGCATGTAATCTTTTTTTCTGGAACTTGGAAATTCTGACAGCCTGGTTGGTTCCATTCAGCCCCTCCTCAAAGGCCAGCTTTTTGCCTAGTTTCACAAGTTCTAGCTCTGTTTCATAGATCTAGTCTTTACAGTAGCACTGTTGAAAGTTCAGATTACCTCTCTACTCAGGTCTTTCAAGTGGGCTTCTATCTTTCTATCTGGTTCTCATGATTTACATGACCTAAGAACTTATCTTGAGTTTACACTGCCCGGTACTGGTTTGTGTTCCTTCATACAATGTTGCATGAATGCCCTAGACCTTCCAGTCATGCTAGTATGACACAGGTTACAGGTGTTTTATCCCAACCAATCACAGAAGACAGTTAACCATAATACAGAAAGAATTGCAAATTTTTACCATCATTGAGATTTGAACTCTAGATCTGCCACTTGAAGGTTGATAATCTATCCACTTCACTAGGTTACTACACCCCCAATTCTAATTTTTTTCTTTATTTTATTTATACAATAGCATAAAGGTTCTGATATAAAGATTCTATTTATATGTATTATATAAATAATTAAAAAAAATAAGAATAATTCTCTTATTTGTATATATTAAATGAATAATTAAAAAAAAAAATAAGAATCTATTTATTATGTTTTCAACTATGTCATATTTATTTTGGCCTATGTCTACTAATATAAAAATAAATAAAAAATAACAATAAAAAACAAATTTGTAAAAGCAATTAATTAAGTAAAACTCTTATCTGATATTCTACTTGTATAAAGCTACCTAATGTTGCTTGAACCTTTAAGAAGAAAACTTGAAGCTGAATGTCTTGTTGCAATAAATGCAATATTCTAAATACTGCATTGTGATTAGAAATAATTGTGTCAAGAAGGCTAATCACAATATATATAGCATTGAGTTTAACAAAGTTTGAAGATGCAATAAAAGAAGAATTACTGTTATTTATACTATCAGCATCATTATCATTTTCTGGAGTTGTTAATGCTAATAAGTTAGCATCTGTAAATTCTTGATATATCAAATCTATTTCTTCTGATGGGTTTGTATAATGAGCAAGGCTTATAAGATAGCAAAAGGACAACATTTTGAGTGATTCTTTCAACTTTGTAAGAACAGATGAATCTTCTTTATTTGGATAGACTTTATAAATAAAGGCAGTTATTTTATAGTCAAACAAGCCAGTATGGTAAAAACAGTTTGTAATAGTTTCTGGAGAAATTAAATACTAAGCTCAAATACACTATTGCATTGCTGTTAGTTAGGCAACTTTATAGATATCAGATTTCTTAGCCTCATTATGATCAATAGTATATTGTAATAAAAAATGATAATATCAGTATTTGAAGATGACATAATGTCTGCATTCATTAGTTAAACCTTAAAGATAGTTCTTAGAGATAAAGTGATGACTTTTATATTAGTAAGATCTATATCACTAACTGCATGTGAAATAGTGCCATTAATAAGAAGAAAGATGTGTCAATTTGCATCTTGCATTATACTATTAAAGTTTACAATACATTCTCTAAAAAGAAGAAAAGTCATTCAGGCTTTCTTATTATAGTGATAATAAAAGCCAAGCTGCTTTTCAGTTTTGCTTTTAAATGAACTTGGTTTGTTTGAATAACCAATTATAAAAAGTTTTAACATATGCGAACCATCTGAATTAGTAATAAGAGCAAAGATAAGATATGTTTTGTTTTTTTTGCTCTCTTCAATTTGTCTTTTAGCAATTGTTTTGTCTAGTGCCATCCTATAAAACAAACCAGTTTTATCTATATTGTAAATATTCCTCATAGCATATTGTTTAATAGTTTCATATAGTTTAGACAAACTTCTTTTGATTGCTTTATTATTAGCAGATCTGCTTTCTTCATGAATTTTATGCATTTTAAATCTATAATGTTGCTCAAATAAGAGCAGCCAACTAACAGAAAAGTCAGGTATATAATGATTTTAAGAGTCATGACCAAGTTGTTTAGCAAATTTTCATTTTTTCTCATATATTAACTTCTTAGTTAAATGAATTCTTTTTGTTTGATATTGCAAAACCTAGTTTACTAATACTTTATCTAACTGTAGTTAGAGTACTATATAGTGATATTTAAAGAAAGTTTTTAGTGAGTAAACAAGCAAGAAAAAGAAGAAACAAGAATAAGAATAATTAAATGTTTAGTCTAAAAAAAGACAATTGAACAAATACAAACTTTACTAAAGCTGCTTAAGAAAACAAAAGATTTTTTAGATATGGTAACTAATATAGCATAAAATGAATTCTATGAAAACACAGGTTGAACGAATGAATAAAGGGTGAATAATAGATAAATAACAGAAAAAAAAACTGCCATTATTCTACTCTATATTCGCCAAATAATGGCAGCATAACAGCA